TAGGAATCACTGGGTCAAGTGCTTCATGATCTGTTGTCCATGGTTGGATTGCTGCAGCTTATATGTTTGCCTGTTATCTAAATAAGGTCCGATGCAACTACCCTGCAGCTTGGTGATCACTTGCGTAAGGATGAGGATGAGGATCATACGCATGAGCATGAGGATGAGGAGCCCCTCCCAGAGATCCCGCCCCTCCAAGAGATCTCGTCCCTCATGCGTGGCCAGTGCACCGAATGGCAGTCGCAAGACTTGCCATTGACCCCTGAGAAGTCAAGCTTGGTACCGGTACCACCTGCATCATGGATGCCTGAGGAAGATGCAGTCAGTTTGGAGCTGAGACACTCGAGTGAAGAGGATTCGAATGGGTCGGCAAGTCCAGAACCGCTGATGGAAGGGCCAGGTGCTGCCGCTGTCCTGCGAGCCAATGGAGTGTATTTTCCTGTCGAAAAGAAGGAAGCTACAAGCAAGGACGAACAGGAAGGAGATGCCCTAGGCAAACCAGATGATCATGATGATACAAGGAATACACATGCTCAGGACAAGGAGCACGATGATCAGGAGAAGGAGGAGGATGATTCGAGAACCCAACATTACTCTCCAAAGCATGTGGAGCAAGAGGAGGAGCAAGGAGATGACCAAGAGGAGGAGGAAGGAGATGAGCAAGAGGAGGAAGAAGGATATGACCCAGAGGAGGAGGAGGAAAGCGATGATGGTCATGATGCGAAGATTCCACTTGTGCTCCATAGGGAGCAGAGAGTCCTCAGAAGGCCAGCGGGACAGGCCAAAAACAAAAAACAGCCCAAGGCTGCTGCTAAGGCAAAAGCTAAGGCAAAGAGTCAGGCGAAGGCAAAGGCAAAGGGAAAGGCAAAGGCAAAGGCCGGCGCAAAAGCAACAGAACCAGAGACGGCAGCTCCCGAGAATGCTGCCGATGCACCCCCGAAGAAGAAAGGAGGCTGGCCGAAGGGTAAAGCCAAGGCAAAGGCCAAGCAAGTCTGTGGGCCCCCGAAGAGGAAGGATCCCCCAGCTGATGATAAGAAGGATGAGGCAGAGAAGGATAGCGATGATGCCCCCGCAAAACGCCCCAAGAAAGGAGTTTGCCTTGTCACCCCCGAGCAGAAGAAGCACCTGAAGTCGTCCCTGGGAAACATGTATTGTGTATTGTGCATGTGCGTGAATTTGTGCGGTTGCTTGCTTGTGTGGGTTGCACAAACTTGAATTGCTATGCAGGCTTATCTGTCATGGAGCCATGTACCGTGTCGAAGTGTATTGGACCTGCCAGCAGCCCAAATGCGGAGTGCGATGCAAAGAGTCAGGGAAATCGCTGTTTTGCTACACTTTCGAATCGTTCACGGTTCTGATCGAGCTATGCAACGAGCTGGTCACTTGCTTTAAGATTGACATGTTGTTATCTTTGTAGAAGTTCTTGCATCCTCGGTAGAATTGAGGACTTCGCTGTCTGAAACAGGTGATCTTCTTTGAGAAAAATGGTCCTGATCAAAGTTGGGAGCAAGTGAACTACAAAGCCAACTCCATCTTGATGAATCTCAAGTTGAAGTATCGGAAAGAGCTGAAAGCCAATCTGGTATAGATGCCTGAGAAGCCAAGAGCCTCTTTTGTGTGCTGGTGATTGCTTAGCAACAGATCTGGATGGGTATGGGAATGAGGATCCGTTTCACACTCTCCGGAGTGCGAATGAACGGGCTATGTACGTATACGTATATATACGAATTATGTTGATGATATCTTGCAAAGTTCGTTTATACCAGCAAATAAGTCGAATGGTCCTTTTGTGTGTTGATTGCCAACGGATCCTCGTGGGGCCCTCCACGGTCTCAATGCAATTTCAACCGGCAATGAACAGCAATTGCAACCGGAATCGCACACACGCGTTTAGCAGGAGGTTTCCGCTCCGATTTTGTATGCGATTGTTGATTTTATTGGTGCTGTCTATATCGTTGCAGCCGCCTCTAGGCAAAGTGTCACCACCCAGCTCGCCGCAAGACAAAATATGATTCTGACTTGTGCATGCACAACAGCTGGGCATCCTACACAATGAGCTCCCACCCAGCATCATATGTGAAGCTTGTCTTGTGACCTATATGCATGTTGCTTGCGATACTTAGGCTTGTCATCTACTTCAATCTACGGTTGAGGTGCTTGTCCTTGCCCCATGCCCCGTGGTTGCAAGCGGTTGCAGCCGAGGGTCGGTGTGGCCGGCATGATTGATCTGCAGCTTGCACTTGAACTTGCAGTTGCCTTGGACTTGGACACACAAGTAGGCATGTGCATAGCTTGACAAAGACTTTGAAACTATTCATGTTGCTGCTGTGCTGAGCATGTGCATGTGTCGGACTTCAAGACTGCAGCAATTGTTTTAATCTCGGAGTCTTAGTCGGTGGCAGAGTTGGTATATATAAAGATGTCTAATGATTTCTACCTGCAGACACAGGAGTCATTAAGTATTTCTATATCTGCATAGTACTTGGCAGCAGCTGCAACCTGCATCATTATCAGAAGCCATGCTGAATCGCCGCAATGCATGGAACCTGAGGGCACTGGTTCGTAACCTGTATCGAGCAAGTGTCCCGCGAGCTATTTGACTACAATAATGCTGTCGATGCACCCTTTATGTATATATCCAGGAAATATAAGCAAGGCTGTGGTGCTTTGCTGCATTCTCCTCTACTTCATAGAAGATGTGAATATGGGCCGTGCTCTTTGGTTGCACGCTTGTCTTGGTCATTGCTTTTGTGCTTGTTTCTGTCACGCAGCAAGTATCGTGCCATATCTGATCGAGGACTGGCGTGCTGTAGAGTTCTTTGCCGGGACAGGAAACCTAACAGCGAGCCTGAAGAAACTGTCGTTTAGAACAATTTCGCTGGATTACGATTATGCACCTGGCAAAAACCACTTCGACTTACTGAAGCCTGCTGGTATGGCGCTCCTTGTTCGCAAGCAAGCATAACATGCTGTGCATCGTGACTCAGCACCTGAACTCCTGTGGGTTTTGACAAATGATGCTTGCTATTCTTGTGTGGGAGGTTGGCCTTGCTAGCTGTCCTTCGTCTAGAAGCAGGAGGATTGATCGTGATGGCCCCTGTCTGCTCCTCCTTTTCCGATATGTGCACTTCTAAATCTGGTCGCTCCATAGTATGCCCTCTCGGAGACGAAAATCTTCCTTGGATACGCTCCGGAAATCTACTGGCACATAGGCGCCACTCTAACTTCGCCCTAGCTGTACTTTGCCCAAAACCACCAAATGTTCTGTTGTCTTGCTTAGCATGCAAGCTTCTATTGTCCTATATATGGTGTCTCGACATGCAGGTGCATTCTGCTGTGCTATTTGGCCATGGCCTTGAACCTATGCTTCATCCTTGAGCAGCCTGCAAGTGCCAAATTTTCTTTCCTACCTGAGTGGGAGCATTTCACTTCACGGGTTGCATGGGTAGCTGGGCTGAGACTTAAGGTCGCAAGATAGACGATGTGCAAAGCTTAAAATATATTACAATATACCTCGCATGCTTGCCATCTGAGATATTCAGGTCTACCGGCAGACTGTCAACATGAGGGCCTTCGGTGCTCCGAGCATGAAGAAATCATGTCTTTGGTCCAACAGCAGACTTATCGGAGAGCTTGGTTCAGATGTTGTGACTAGGGAACCTTGTCTGCTATATTCATTACAAGCATGCTTCTGAGGTTGCCCGTTATGGTTTGCATAAACACACACGTCGCTCCTTCAGGAGATGAGAGCAACGGCACAACCTCTTGTCCGACGCTACGTTGACTCCAAGGGAGTTGCTCGTTTCACTGGAGTGAAGCAGAAACTGAAGAAAAGCCAGCCGGGGCCTGAACGACTACATATTTAGCAAACACACACAAGCATTGCGAGCATTGTCTGTATCTCGAAATTCTTGTTGACCTTGTACCATGTGTGTTGTCTGCTGCAGGATGTACACTCGTGCATTTGGCTATCGGGTCGGGGCCTTGTTGCCGAAACTATGCTCCCATATCACGGGGCTTCGTGCACCCAAGGAGCTTTGGGCTGCTAGTTGCTGATGTTCTGCTGCAAAGTCTCGCTTCTGAGGTCTGATAATCTGATATTTAAAATCTTAGTTGCAACACATGTACTTGTTGCCCCAGGAGCCAGCAACCGAGTCAGTCAGCCTCCTTTTGGCCGAGATGCAGCAAGACCAGCAGCTCTGGGAAGCAGCGGCAATGCCTGATGTTGTCACATATCTTCGAGGTTGTAAGTCCTTGAACCTGCCGACTATTCTGAAAGAGGCTCTCGACGTGTGATTGTGCAGTGCATGGCAATGCAACAATTCAGCTCGTATGCTGCCTTGTAATTATTCGACAAATTAGACTCGCTCTGCGAAAGCTTGTCTGGCTGCAAGAAGAAATGAGGCTTTGTCGGTGGGTTCCATGCACAACAACCAGCTTGACTTGCATGACTTGCACATGTCCATGTAGCAACACCAACAATAGCTTTGCTAGCAAGCATAAAACAAAGGCATGTCGACCATAGTGGTTGGAATTAGTTGGAAAATTTCCTTTTTGGGTCCAAATACACAGGGAAACCAGAAACACATAGCCAAACCCCCGCGCAAGGCCGCGCAAGGTTGCGCAAGAAAACCAGTTCTCTGCGTAAGAAAACCAGTTCTTGGCGCAATCTCGCGCAATCTGAAAATTCTTGAAAAAAACACTCTATGTTCCAACCTTTTAAAAAAATGCTTTTGTATTTTTGGGAAAACTTGGGAAGGAACTGGAAAACCAAAAAAAATAATAACAAACCAAGCGCAAATAGTTGGAAAACTTAAAATCTTGGCCTGTATTAGATAGGAACGGCTGGAAAACCACAACTATTAGGTTTTCCAACCAACTTTATCCAAGTAGCTCCAAAACCCTTAAAAACCATTGGGGAAGGCTTAAAACAAGCAGAACACGCTTATTTCGATGGTTTCGGCCATTTCTAATAAGTCTGGAGATCCTTGTTGGAAAACCAGTGCTTTGGTATCGACTTTGTGTCTGGGGTGTCTGTAGCCTAGAGGCAATCATTCCGCAACCCCAGGCTCATGTGTCATGTAGCAACCAGCACAACAAAGCATACCAGCCTCAGGTATCATATGTCAACCTCTAACAAAGCACCCTGTTGCTTCGTAGCTGCCAGGTACGGCAGATGAAGACGAGTTGGCCAAACGCCGCAGACTAGCAGGTGCCACCCGTCCCCGCTGCTCTCTGCATGTGCAAGTGCATGATGCTTTGCTGCAGGCTGTCGGTTGTTGCTCTTGTAACATGCAAGCAAATGCTCAATGCTGTGTGCTTTGTGATTGGATGCTGTGCTTGTTTGTTGCAACTCAACCCAAGAGTGGCATTTTGCCTCAAGCAAATGTTTGCTGGCCCTTCCAAGCTCTGGTCTTGTGGCTCTCTATTGGAGGGCCAAAGGCATCTGGAGGGCCAAGCTCAGCCCTCGAGGCCCGTGCCGAGGATGGAGGCAACACCTCAGCACTTATGAAGCTGCTTCTGTGCTTGTCTTTACATGTCTTGACAACAGCTATGTAGTTTGATGCAGCAACAAAGGTGAAGCAGGAGATCAACGTGGAGGACGGCGAGTTCTCCCCGAGGACGACGGCGATGATAGCCTCGCTCGATGATTCAGAGGAATCACGAGAGTTGGTGCGGGGCTTGAGGGCCTTAAGTTGCTCGCTTGCATTAGTTGCTTTGTTCGTGTGCAGGTTTACATAATTTGTCCATGTCTTGACGGCCTTGTTGGTATGTTCTTGCATGACATGTACTTGTGAACAACACCTAGGGCAGCAGACCGCCGCAACAGTCAAGACGGAGCCAGCCACGCCTTCGGGGCCCAAACAGCCCAGCTACCCGCCGCCGAATCGAGGGCCTCAGCAACCCAACCACCCACCGCCTGGCTGGATTCCCCAACCGAAGACGCCCCCCCAGGCTCCGACCGCAACGAAAGCCCCGCCACCGCCTCCGCCCGTTCCTGTTGCCCCCTGCCGAAATGAGCCAGCTAGAGCAGCACCAGCAGCAGCAATGCCCGAGCCACCCCCGGACATGACACCAGAGGAGCAGAAGGATTTGCTCAAGCAACAGGCTTGGCTTGCAGGTGCGGCGTTCCAAGCAGCCGCATCGGAAGCAGCACCGACCGAGAGCTCGACAACATGGTTGCAACAGCAGCAGGCAATCATGAAGCAGCAGCAGACAGCTTTCTTGATACAGCAGGAGCAGCAGAGAATGACGTTTATGCTTCAGCAACAAAAGCAGTTCGAACTGCAAACCCAAGCTGTTCTTGTGCAGCAGCAGCAGCAGCAGCAGCCACAACAGCCCGTGACCTCTGCTGAAGCTGCTTTGCATGGCATGTTGTCTCCAGGGCCTGTGCAAGATGCAATGTTGTTGCAGCAGCAGCAAGTGGCAGCCTTCGAGGAGAGGCGAGAGCTGGAGCGCCAGCAGAAGCTGGAGGCTGAGAGGGCGGCCGAGGAGCAGCGGCTCAAGCATGAGCAGCAAATGCTGGATGAGCAGCAGGAGCTGCTGGAAATTCAGGAGGAGGCTGAGCGCCAGGAACGTGCCAGGCAGGATGAGAACAAGAGGTTGGCGGAGGAACTGTTCAAGGTGGAGAAAAGGGCCGAGGCCTTGAGACAGGCCATGATCAGCAGGAGCTCTGGCAGCAAAGCTCAAGGTGCCCCAGCCCGGTCAGGCCACCTCTATGTGATCCCGCCTAACTGGCCCAAGGACGTGCTGATTCCGCCGATCCCACCGCCTGTGCCCGTGGCACAGAGGACGCCGAGCCAGCCGACACCGAGCACGACGAGCCCGCCGATTCCGATGCCGAGCACGCCTCCTGCGAGATCGCGGTCCCCGGTTGGCACAGGGAGCTTGGCGGAGCAGGTGAGGAAAGTGGCGAGCGGCGGTGAGGCCACCGACCCCAAAGCCTACCTCAGGGCTCGGCTGGAGGCTGCAGCAAGCAAGAACGAGGCGGGGGAGACGGACGAGCCGGCGACAANNAGTCGGTGTGAGACTCGCCTGCATAAAGTGTTGCATGTGATTTAGTTGTGAACACTTGCTGGTTTGTGCTTCGCTTGACAACACATGCTTTGTTGTGTGCATACAGGAAAGCCAGTGAGCAAGCATACAACAGCACCACGCACCCAACCGAATGGCACTTCCTCAACCGCCTGGTGAAGAGCAAAAAGGGCACCCTCGATGACATCACCAAAGCATGGGAAGAGGGACAGCACTTGCTTGTTGTGTGTGGGCATGTCTTCAACTTCAAGTGTGTGCTTGCTGGTGCTTGAAGCATGCATGCATGAACACACGCAGGAGGGATAAAACGTGCACGGCTCCTTCGCGACTTTGTGGTAAAGGTTTACAGTCCGAGCGATGACCACTCCCTGAACAAGGCACTTGTCTAAGTAGCTATAGCTGTCGTTGTCGTGCCCATTACATAACATGCCAGGGGCGACTGGAGGCATTGATCCGTCTTCGTCAATCGACGAAGGAGTGGAAAAGGAACACTCAAGGTTTCGAATGGTGCACAGTCGCTGATATGCAGGCCAAAGGCTGGCCTGAGAACCTCGGTAAAGTATATTATTCAAGCTGAGCCTCGATTTCTTTGTACCTGTGATTCTTGCTAACGAATACACAGCGAAGGCAGAAAGTGGAGGGAGCAAAAAAATATTGCACGGCCAAGAAGCTCTACAAGACTTGCCCATACACAGGCGAGTATAAATATCTCGTGCTTGTCTCCGACACGGTCACGAACCTCAGCCGAAACTACAAAAGCCTTCTCATTCTTTTTACAATAGTTGTGACAACACAAATCGCATGATTAAATATGTTATTTCAAATGGAATCCGAAACCATCAATCAGGCAAGGCCAAGAGAAGCTGCGAGAGCTGGAAGAGCTCATGGAAGAAGCTGGTTTCTTCAACGACAAATTCCAGTTGGGTTGTGGAGATTCGTTCGAAATCAGTGACGACGAGACGGTTCCGGATTCCAAAGCTGCTGCAAATGGTAAAAAGGGGGGTAACAGAACAGCAGCGAAAGCCTCAGGCCTCCCCATGGTCGTGGAAGGAGACAACGATTTATCAGGAACTCTGGCAAAGTACAAGAAGGCCATGTTGAATAAACGCACCGTGTTGAAGGAAGTCAAGGACCGACTGGAGGATGAAAAGTGC